TATATATATATATATATTTTTTTTTTTAAAGCTCTCATATAAATGATAAATGGTGGTGAGACTAAAGTGATGAATTCAACGTAATCCTTTTTCAAACCTCTTTTTATTTATCAAGTCGAGCCAGTGGCTTTCCAACGAAGGAAAGTACATGATCAAAGATGTTCTTAAATCTCAATGTATCAAGGATACTATAAGTTGATATTTATTAGAAATAAATTAAACGATTTATCTCATATTATGGTTCAAATAAAAGAAGAAGAAAAAAAGAAAGGAAATGAAAAGAAGAGTGATCTTTTTTTTAAAAAGAAATTTAAAGTGTCGATCCTTAATGCATCAAGGGTTAACAACATCTTGGCATCGCGCCATTTGTACAACATGAAAACTCTATTCGTATAACAGAGACGATCGTAACAACAACAATTAATATAACGATAATCATCACGATAGGAACAGTAAATTTAATTAGAACAACTTGGGCATAACTTTGGATAATATTCGCAGATTACCTACCGCGTAAAAAATAATTAATAATGATGCGTTATCTGTTCGCTTTTTGAAGCGAGTCGAATGGAGAAAAAAAGATCGATAATAATTACTTAAGAGGAATTAAGCAAAACGTTGTTGTAATCATCGATGAAATATTGTACTCGCGCGATAAGTACACCGCTCTTTTTTTTTCTTTTTTTTTTTTTTTTTTTTTTTTTTTTTCTTCTGTTATTTGCGTTATTAACTGGGCGATAGTGGTAAAGCGTTGTGTTATGTGATAAGTGCTATCGTGTTTCTGTGACCAAGAAGCCAAAAAGAATAATAAACTTCAATCAGTCGCGAAATTAGCGTTAATCGTTCAAGAGAGCGTTTCAACCTCTTCGTATCCGCTCTTAATATATATTCAATGAAGCGATAAGAATAAATATGTATCAGGATATAAAGAGTTAAATAAATAATTGGCGAAGTCATACTTCGAATATGATTGCACGACAGATAGACGGCTACAGAGAAGAGTATCTGCAATAAAATCGTTTCTATATTTAATGGAGGGGGAGGGAGGTGTAGCAGAAACAACATTTGCTCCCTACAGCTAAATGCAGCTTAAAACCGACTTTCGCGCCGGATTCTAGCGAGTTCGAAGGCAAAGTGATCGAGGATGACTTTAATTTACAAGCGTTATACTTCGTTATTCGGATCGCATATCAAACGGGATTCGAATACGACACGATGAAAAATTACGTGTTAAGGTCGGCCCGACGTGAAATAATTTTCCTTTTATGTTGCCGTTTTAACACGTGTGTTTGACGTTGATCCGGTTAAATGTGTATATAAGGCCAAAAAATACCGTTACTTGCTCAAATGTAGCATTCGAACTTAAGCCTACGAGTAAGTCACGATTTATAAGACACGTTATGCGTTTTTCTCGTGTCCGTATATCTTGTTACGCAAGAGAGCACGCGAAACGTCTTTGTGAAATCATTAACACCTGATTCATTGTCCGTGAATGTTAATCGGCCAACTACGTTGCAGGTTATTCAATGTGTACAATTATATCAAAAATCTATCCAGTTGAATTTTTATTTAATTCGTTCTTTTTTTTTTTTTTTGACGACTCGGTGATCAATGAGAGAGAATAATTTTTGCATCGCGTGCTCTTTCACGAGGCAGCATGGCGCGAGTCGAGTTTATACCAATGAGAATCGATGAGAATAGTCGTTTGACAATTCGATAATTAATGTCTAAAGCGTGGTTCGCCAGCGCGCTCACTTACCATATCCTTCGCCCTGCAGAAATAGTCGAAAGGCCTCGCTTACTTTGCCCGGTTGCTCCTCCAGTACCATTCCGCAATCAGAAATCTGTGAATAAAGATGAAGATTGATTAGATTATCCGTTTAAAACGGTAACCAATTTTTATTATTACACTTGTGTAATAATCATTCAATAAATGTAATCATAACATTCAAATATATCGTAACAATGAAGATATAATCGAATGAATTACAATATTTGCAATATTGAACGGTTTATGTTTGATTAAAATTTTAATTAATTTGAAATGGGAGGAAAAACTTACGATTATTTTGATTGCTTTCCGAAAATACAATTCGTAATTAAAAATCCATCCAAAGGGGTCGATCAAGAATTCCAAAACTCACGAAATATTTAACAAAGAGTCTCCCCACGGAATTAAACGGTTCGAAATACAATATTTTTAGCGATTCGAGCAAAATCTTTTTGATCAATGTTTCAAGAGTTTCGTACCTTCATCCAAGAGCTATTCATCGGATCTAATCGTCCATTTAACGTGACGGTATCGTCGACATGTGGGCTCAAAGCTCCTGTGATATTCATCACAGGTACACCAAGCGTGAGACCTTCCTTCTTACGCGTAGGATCTAATTCCCTCGTGATGTTCAGATCTGTACGACGAACGTAGCTGTCGATTAATAATGCCAGATTCGTTGGATTCACGCGACGCTCAAAATAATTCTTGTACACTTGTACAAGATCGTGATTCCTTTCCTCCGTGCCCTGAAAAATACGTATTCAAAATATGTAATATTTGAATTTACTTGATGTAAATCAAGTTAATTCTAATGATTGAAATGATCAAATTGACAAAATTAAAAAACCAACGCGTTAGAATTATTTTTAATATGTCAAATATGGGATCCTTCTATGTATGTATGACGAAATTAAAATCATGAAATCAAAAAAAAAAAAATCAACCAAGGCTCTTGTCTGTCTTCTGAATAGCGCAACTTGATGGAAAAATTCCAAGGTCTCGAATATCTTCGTTTCGTTTTTTTTTACGGTCCAATTTCTTTGGTCAATGCGCAAAGGTAAAATAATCTTCAAGGCTCGCCATTAGCGTTGAACAGGAACAAATTTGAAATATAATAGTATAAAAAAGGAAGGCAAAATAAAGCGTTAAGGTACAATTTTCGTACCTTATTACGTCGAAGGATGTTTATACTATAAATCTGACCTGCTTTTCTTTTTATTTTCCTTTTTTTTTTTTGATTTTTTTTTCTCTCACGATATCTATGCCGTAACTCCATCAAAGAGCTACGTGTTGCATAATAAGAGCGAAGGAATTGTTGTTGATGGCCCGATCCAATTTTCCACGTTGCTTGGAAATACTCGACGGTATAAGCCTTCATTAAACTCGGTTCAACTTGTCAATAATTTATCAGTCTATGTTTCCATGTGAACGTTGCTTAAATTAAGTTGCCTTGATAAAAGTTTGTAGATCATACAGACTATTGTCTGTCTCTTTGCATGCATGTCTTTCTGCGGTATGAATTACAATAGCTCTTTTTCTTTTTGCTGGTGTCAATATTATTTATTAAATAATACCAAAATAAATAAGTTTTATTAGCTATTGATTATTTAACTTTAATTTATGGTTATTATTTCTACTTATTTTATCTGTAATTTGAAATGTCAGTAAAAATTATGAGTATAAAAAAAATAATAAATAGTGTAAAAATAATGAGTGTAAAAATAATTATAAATAGTTAAAAAATTTCTTACATATGAAGACAATATAAAAAAATAGCACATAGCAAAATTGAAACTTACAAATTCTAGTAACAATATTAACTTTAAAAACATTAAATCTCTCTTATTATTGAAATAAGAAAACTAAACGAAGAACTTGATCAAAATTATATATTTACCGGAACAAATGACATAACAAAGTCTTAAAAAATACCTACAAATTAGAATACAAATTTTAAACATAAATTTGAACACTTTAGAAAAAGGATATTGATTTTTTTCACTTTCCAAAATATTAATATAAATATATTCTCACCCTGCCAAAGTGATGCCACATCAGATAATCCAATACACCTTGAGTCATCCCCTGCGATCTCAAGTGGCGAACGTTCAGTTTCTGATATCCCCATTCGATCCAACCAGCTTGTGTCGACACGCAATTTATCAAGCACAGAGCATTGACCTTCTCGGGATGAGCAAGCGCGAATCTCGCTAGTATGTTGGCCCCTGCACCGACTCCAAAACCGATTACGGATTTCAGGCCAAAATGGCTCAATACGAAGAGCAGGTGTTCAGCCAGCTCGTCCATGGACGGATAGACGTAGCTGGAATATAACGTTACACAGATTTACATTCTAATTTAACGTCGAGATATCATTCTCTTCGATATCATTTACGAATCTATGATATTAGAAAGAAGGAATTTTAATTATACGTTGTGTGTCAATGTTTAAATTGTATTAAGGAAACTTTATATAACTTTAATACCTCAATTTGAAATGGAATTGATGGGGAACCAATTTTCCACCGAGTCTTAGATACGTATATACATATGTCAATATTTATCAATTTAATAGAGATGAAATGTATCTCTCCCTCGACGATACATGGAGATTTATTTACGGTTTCCCCAGCACGATATATTGAAAATGATAAACGAGGAGAATATTTGATTTCGTATTAATTGTTATGCTGATTAAAGTTACGAATTTTTTTCGTTCTCTCCATTGATAATAAATAAATATATATAAATAGACACTTGAATTGTTCTTATTATCACTAAATCTATCTATAGTTTGTTTGATACAAATAACGTGATTTTCAAGTTATTATTGTAAATAAATCCTCAATTTTTTTTTTTTTAAATTATAAATAATTTTTCTTCCTTCGTCAATATAAGACACCGAGGAAAATTTGAAATTGTAAAATGAAGATAATCTTGAAAAGAAAATTTTTACAAGTAAGACATAATCAGCAGAAATAATTGAGAAAATCGTAAGTTAAAATTCGTCGACATAAGTTTGTGTGAATTTTGAGAATTTCTAATTCACGATTAAACACAATATCGGTTTCCCTGACCAATTACATAACTTGCGAGCCACCGATAGAAATCGTAAAGTATCACCAAGACGATCGAATAAAAACAAATATACTTGAACAGACACTCGTCATGATACTTTACGATTTTGGCACGCGAGCAAAAATAATGTTTCTTAACTGTCTAGGTTGCATGAAAATCTGCAATGCAGTCTAAATTATTCCGTAACACTCTATTCAGTTACATATGCGTCTGTCGAGGTGAGCCTCGATCGTTTGAGGTCAGGTTAATCGGATGTCGTAGGTAGACACCGTCAATCTTCTAATTCCACGACGTAAACGATTCTCAACGATCCACTATCACTGTCCACTGTCATTCATCACGGTCGAAATCTCGTCCATATTCTCCTCTTTCGAAACGATAAATAAAAAATATCCTCCTTTCTATCTTTCGATGGTAACGGAAGCTTTTAACCCCGTAAATCTCGATAAATCAGTTTTCGAAACGCGACGAGTTCACCAGCCGTTTTGCTCCAGCCATTTCTCGATTTCACGAGAGATTAGGCAAAGGAAAGGGGTAACTGCGCATCAACGGTAAGATCGAATCCGTACAAGTGCGCAAACGGCGATAGTGAAGAGAAAGCGCGAGAAAGAATTCCGCGAAGAGGCATGGAGGTAAAGGTAAAGAGAATCGCTCTTAAGGCGCGAAGAATCCGTCGTAAACGCGAAAGTAGGGACATACTCGGGGCTTCGACTAATTAGAATGTTAATTAGGTCATTGATTTGCACTAATTGAATTCACTGTCGCTTAAGTGAGGCGCGTGCACGATACTCTTGAATGGGATCTTGATATGTGTGCACGTATGAGGAACGTAGGGAAATCAGTTTCTCTTTCTCTTTCTTTTTTTCTTTTTTTTTCTTTTTTTTTTTTTCGTCAACAGTTGTACCGAGAGTTAATTAGTGAACTCGTTACTGGACTTTGAAAACGTGTACTCGAACACGATTGACAATTGGTACTCGTTTATCAACTTTAAACTTGGTTGCTTTGATTAATGCACTCGTTTGTTCATATTAGCAAATGGAGAATTGCTATTTTGCGTTAATCGTTCGTTATTAATCACTTCGTGTTCCGCACGATATATATTCAAATTATGAAATAATTATAATGGAAAATTGATAATATCGATATTCATTAGTCAAATATATATAAATTAATGTAATTTTTTAATTGTATCGATCGTCAAAGGTATCTGAGGGAAGGATAAAAGATTAGAATTATTACTTTAGGTATCAATTTTGTAATAAATATTTAATAGAAAATATACTTACTCCTCAGGCAGCGTGGGTGCACCTTCTTCTTGGCCAGGTGCATTCACGTGATAAACGCAGAAATTCTCCAGTAAAACTCTCATGTCGATATAATTGAAGAACGCCTGGAAGCTCGATATATCTGAAAATAATGATCCATGTTTCCTTTCGTATTTTAAATATTAAGAAACATATTCATTGCTATATAAATTAATGTAGCAATCATTGATTTCTTGATATAAAAGAGAATATAATTTGACTGGTAGAACAATTATTCAATTCACAATTGATAATTTATAATCAAAAGGATCTAAAAAAAATAGTTTTAATATTAATATAATTGTTATTTAATCGATTAAAAAAAAAGAATCAATAAATGAATAAATC